TAATTTTAAATTTGTAATCAGTTTAGTTACCATGTGTATGCTGATACAATGCTGGTGACCAACTATAACTATTAGGACTAGGAATAGTATCCATCATTATCGCAGTATCTATAGATGATGATGATATACCCTCTTGTGCAGTGGAATTTCCATTGGCAGTGCAAGTGTTATTTTTTACATCGGACAAAGTATTTTTCCTATGTTATATATAAAATCATAAATTGATTAAAATTAAATAAATACAATAAACATAAACATAAAATTTTATTTTATTTGTGATTTATAATGTTCCTCAGTCTAAAGTTCTATAACTAATTGATATTTAATCCTACCTTGACTGTGTACCACAAGTACTTGTATCTTTCTGCAACCCCGATGACAATTGAATGGTTTCAAATAATTGGTCAAACTCGAATATTTTGCTATTATCATTTATTAAATTCATGCTAGTGGACGAGCTCGGAGAGGATTGACGTCGCGACAATAAATGCTTCGATATAATTTTGTTACTGTCCAAAAGTACTGAAACAATGTTATCATTTCTTTCGTATTTTCGTATTAACCATAAATTGAATAGTATTAAATCATATAAACAATCATATAAACAATCATATAAAATCCTCTACTACTTTTATATATGTATATCTAATATTTAAAATTAAATCATTTGCTACAGGAGCTATTAGATTTAAATTTTTTAAAGAATATTTATTTAAGAATAATTATATATTTTCAAATATTTTTGCAACATCTCTTTACTATTGATAATATTTCTCTCTTTAATATTCTTTTACTCACCGTTTGGCACTATTAGATCTAGACGCAATCTGGACGACTCCACATCGTGGTTAACTTTATTAACTTCTGGCAGCTGTGGGAGATCCTTTTCGCAATCTATTGAGTTGGAACGCGTCGCAGGTTCGGATCTGGTCACTTGACTACCGGAAGCAGTCAATTCTGATTGACAGATGCTCGGCAGTCGATTCAGTTTAGCTTTACTATCGCAAAACGCTTGCGGTTGGGAATGATGAAATGCGCAATTAAGATGTTTGTTACCAGTGTTTAGATTTAAATCGTTGCAAGTGGCAGTGTCAAGTTCAGGACGCTTGTGTGAGTACACAGCGGTCGCGGTAGATTGTACTGGAACGTTACAGTGCAACGGACTGGAACTACGGCGCTGTAGATTTGTGAGTGAACTCCTAGAATCGCAGTTCCCATCCGCTTGTTGACCAAGACATAAAGAGTTCCATGCAGAATTCTTGTCCTGCATATCGAACAAGCGTAGCAGCATTATTTCCCTCAACCTAAATCAATAGATTTTGTTGTTATTGAACCATTTGTATTCATACAACCATAGATCAAATTTTATATATTTGTTTCAACTACAATTTTTTTCTTCTTTGTTACATATGTATTTGCTATTAAATCTAATATAATGAAAAAAAATAGATTCTTTACAAATCATAATCACCTATCTTCTTTATATTCGACATTTATTGTTTATTAACGAGATTAAATTTCTATCAAAATTTATTTTCGGACCGACAGATAAAATTTTATTTTTATATTTGTGGAATAGATTGAAAATTATATAAATTTATATAAAATCAATCACCAGTAAGTTGTAATTCTGATTAAACAATTCTCAATATGTACAATTATAATCCATATATTATTCTTATTCAATTATTTTAATGTTACATTTATACAATGTTCTTCTTCATAAGACATTAATCTACGAAATAAAATGATTCTTTGTAAAAAAAAATGCAAATTTTAATTTTGTATACTAAATATACAAGGAAAACCATTGATCCAAATATAAACTAGATCAAACAAAAAAGCCAAGTATCGACTCTCATAAAATGCGCTTAAATCTGAGCTAATTAATCAATACAATGTTTGTCGGCATAAAATCGATGTTCTAATCAATGTTCTAATATTACTTTTAATAAATTTCATAATGGTAAAGTTTTAACTTAACTGATGTCAAAACAGGAAAATATAAGGACATAATTACAATATAAATATTATATCTATACCATTTATCTGCAACAGCATCTCTTTTATTTTGTTGTTTAGTACGCTGATTATTTTGAACCCACGATGCAAGAGATTCCGCAACTTCAACATCGTTCTCTCCTAAAAATATTTGAATTCATTACTATTATAAATAGATTAATAATAAGTCACATCTATCTACACTTTCTCTCATATCTCTGTTGAATTTTTATAATGTATATGTGCAATGCAAGTTGATATTAAGTTGCTATTTATTAGGATAATAATAAACACAGTTATAATTCAATATTGTTTAAAAAAATTTTCATGAATAATTTTATCTAAAAAATTAAATAATTTTCATAAATGGAATATTTTCATGTATAAAATCTATACATGTAAAAGCGTGCACACAAATAGGAAAATAGTTAGGATAATTGTATTAATCATAATATTACAGAATAATTTTAATAATTTAAATATTTGTATTAATTATACATCATTAGGGCATAATTAAATACGAATAATTTAATTTGAATTTAGATATCGAGAATAAAGGAAAGATCCTACAAGACTGCATAAAAGCTATTGGGAATAATGGACGTAGAGATTTCTTTCACGCATTCTTCATCTTGTCTTTGATTTGTGGGTTTGTCACTTTCGACATCTCTATCAACCATGCACACTGCTCGCTCATCTCCGGACGGATCTATGTTTGAATTAGTATCTAATTTTACAATGTATCGCTTAATAAATTCTGTGCATTTTTTTCTAACTTCCATTTAATCATTGCGATTTATAACATTGCCATAACTAAGAATTAATCTTTAATTTTAAAATTCTTATTATATTTAATATTTCTTTACAGTATTACTTGTTACTTTTTATTTATATATATTGTTTATGTTAGTTTGCATACCTGACATTGTTTCGTCATCTACATCGTTTTCATCATTCGTCAAATCCAAGAGCGTGATGTTAGGCTCATTATGTTCACTTTCATCCACATAAATATCATGTTCGCTTAATTCCTATAACAAGCGTAACAACAAAACATCATTCTCGATAAGATTGATTAAAAATGTAAAATTATTCCTATTAAGGGGAAGTCTCATGTAATGAGTCAAAAAATCTTATGGCGATGATATAAAGTTATAAAAAGTGAATGCATCGGTCATGTGGAAAAAAGAATGGGTAGACTTCGAAATGTAAAGAAAACTGCAAAACTTGGAGGAAAGGGAAAATTAACGGATGTGCTAATAAAAAGCTTACAAAGTATTATTGATTGGCAATAAGAAGGAATTCTGAGTCCGTTGATGAAATGGAAAAAACTGTAATGACGAAATCTAAGATTCGCAAATGAAAAGCCGCAGACGCTGCTGGTACTGTACAAAATTTTGAATATCCGCTTGCATTACATCCGGATGTATAGAAAAATTTATTACCGATATAAAAAGAACTTTCCAGAAGAAATCTTAGAAAGACATTTAGGCGGACATACGTAGAATGCAAATGAAAGTTTCAACTCGACGGTATTTGACATCTCAAAACATCTCAATTGCAGCTTCAAAATGATCTAAATCGCCGCTTTTATAGCAGCTGGCGTTTTTAAACGAAGGCTCTATTTTGCAAATAATGCACAACTTGGATATTGTTATTGGTCAGCAAAGCCAAATATTTGCTAATCGATATGACTCACGGAGGAACGCTGCAGCATAAGCAGCATTAAAAACTCAATCAGATCGACAAGAAGAAAATATGGCCTACAAGAATTTTTTGAGGAAACAGAAAGTTTACTTTATGGGCCTGACATAAGCAGATTAGCTATAAGTACTCGAAAATTGTTAATTATCTGTACCCAAAGCTTTAAACGCATTTTTTTCGAAACTAATTTTTAAAATTGGTATGCAAGATAACTCAAAAACTATTCCGATTGAGTTCCTCTATCCTGCACACATTAGCACAAAAATACTTTTTTCATAAATTGAACCTCTATTTGCAATTGTATTGTTTAAACAAATAATTTTTATTGCATAATTAACCTGTGAAAATCGATATTTTTATTTTCTGTGTCGTCATTTTTACAATTTTGCATTATTCTCTTTAAAAATAAGTTCAATTAATAATATAAATCTTACAAAAAAGAAATCCATTTGGTTTTTTTTTTGTTTCAGATAAATACAAGCAGCGCTATATTGCACATCGACAAAAATGACGCATCAAATTAACATTACATTATTATTTATAAAATACATATTATTATAAAAAAATATTTTTTTAGTAGTTCAATATTATAATAACATATCCCGAAAATTTTAAAAGAATTGATTACATAGTTTCCTCAAAAAAAATTCCGAAAAAAATCACCTAATTTTCAGTGCATTATATGAACCCTTTAAGTTAGTTTTTTAAGGAAACTATATAATTCTTTTAATTGTTTAATATAAGTTTATTCTTGGGTACTGACTTGAATCGGCATCTAAATTCGAATTTCTGCCGAACGAAACGAGCGCTAATTTCAAACTAGAGCACCTAATTAATACCTAATTAGCACTTAATTTTAAGGTATATGAAAATTTATTTTGCACTGAAGGAGGGAAGGCTAACTTAATAGACGTTGTAAAATTGAAAATGGAAAGAACTTACACCACTGTCGCTGCTGCTACTACTACTAGATGAAAGATTCAATGTCGGGGGTAAATAAAACGACGACGAGGGATGGGCACCGGTATTGGCAGCTTGGCACTCTCCCGGCGATGCATTATTGGCGCAACGTTGTGCAATCTCGCCTTCCATGATATTCGAGTTATTGATTCGATGCGCGTTGTTCGTCATCGATGATAATGTTGATACAGACAGTAAAGGATCGCTGGCACTGTTATTAGACAGTAAATTCACCGGCTGTTGATTAAGTACATTGGGTGACGAATAAGGCGATGATGTGGAAGTTAGATGAATTCCTGTAGCTTTGCATTCTCCCAGCGATATATCATTGGCACGATGTGGCGATGTAATACTTTCGGGCTCGATGACGTTCAAATTATTATTGGCTCGATGCGTTTTCAACGGCGTCTTCGATGGTAATGTCGATATAGAACCAAAGGTATGCATAGAAAGCTCGCTTAGCTCACACATCGGCATTAATTGATCACTCAGTATTGCAGAATTGCCATTATTATTAGGAAGTGTACTCGGTATCGATCTATCGCAAAAAGTTATTTTGTTATTTAAAATATCTATTTATATTCAAAAGATCAAAAATTATGGGGAAAAAACTTTTTATTCTATGTTTCTAAAAAATCATACCAGAATTTTATATTGTCAATTAATATTCACTGTAAAATCCTGATGTTTTTTTATATCCCTCTTTCATTAATATTTAAAAGAATATTGAAAAAATCTGCTATTTTTGTATTTTTATGGAAATTATAGATTCAAAGATAAAATGCAATTTATTTAAGTAGATTTTATAATATACCTCACTGATGTTCCATTTGTAGTAGGGTATGTATCAATTGTTCGCGTATTATTGGAACTTGTGACGGGCTCGTTTATATCCTGTTGCTGTTGTTGCTGCGTAGACTGCGATGCATTTGCATTTGATCCGCACATTGTAGTTCCATTAGTAGCTCTTGTAGCCGCCATAGCATTACGAGAAATTTCTATCGCTAGTCTCTATGTGTAGAAAAAAATATCATTTTTCTATTTATTCATTTAACAAAAAATATTTGTATAATTAAAGTAATGTTTTAAACAAGTTTTCTAAATTAATAAGCATTATAAAAAATATCAATATGATATCAAAATTGATATCAAAATATCAATATGATATCAAAATTGTATATCAAAATTGTATTAAAATTGATAGTTTTAACTTATATATTTCGCGATAAATTTGCGTAAATTTACTTTTCTTATTAATTTTCTTATTAATTATACAGATTTTATTTTAAATCATTTACCTCCTTCAATTCGTTAATCTGACTGGCATATTGATTTTGGACGGTCAATAATTGGCTAATGTACCACTGTTGATCTCTACAGCGTTGATAAAATGTCGGCGGTCGTACTTGGAATCTGTCAGAATTTGATATTAAATGATTATATACAATTCAATACTAAATATTAAATAATTTATTACTTCATAATTTAATATTACATTTTTAACAATTGTTTTTGATCTGTAAAAAAGATACAAAGTATCTTTTAAAAATAAAGAAATAAGAAAAACAAAAATTCAGCATGCAGATTTTTATATTAATTGGAAAGTATAATCTTAAACTTTAAAAATAATACCTCAATATAAGAGTATCCAATTCTGTATTTAAATAACCTTCTGTTGCAAGTAAGTCTAATCGAAAGAATCTGTTATATCCCCAACACTCGCCGATTTCGAAATCAGACGCAAATTCGCGAACGATGTTTTTACTTGTATCACGAGAACCTTGATGAATCATTTCGACTCTATATTCATATCTATAAAAATATTTTTATGATAGGTACATCTAATTTGTATTCATATTTTATAAACACATAGATAATTTTTATAAGAAATTAATACATATCATTATTTATGAATTCACATACTTTGAAGTCTCTGGCAATCCAGCACTAAGTTCTAAGAATACTGATAAATAATTTCCACGTACAACTCCATTGCCATCTGGATATACTTTCAATCGCCAGCACAGTCCATTCACATGTAATGGTGCAGAGTATACAGGATCAGCTTTCAGCTGAAGCTGAGTAAAGTTTTGCATGGCAAATGTTGCACTATCGTAACCCGGCACAATCTCGCTAAAATAAAACAACTTATGTGAAATTACTAAAAAGATCATCAGCTTTAATCATAATGTAAAACTAATTATATTAATTCTTACAGGTCTTACCTGTGAAAGTCGGCAGGTACTGGAGCGGTAACGAAACTAGTCATTGGCTTCTTGCGAACTTGATGTATTTTGCGAGAAAGTTCAGCGCTTTTGGTAATCAATTCGGAACGCGTGCATGTGTGCAATTGATATTCCACCTCTTGTAACAAAGCTTCCAGTTGTTCGGTTTCTAGAGTTAATGAGTTCTTTTGACCCATCAGAGTTAATAATTTAGCTTTCAACTGAGAATCCAAACGAGCTATCATTAATTCTATTGCATTTCTAATCTCCCTGACTCTTTCATCCTTTGCAGCTCTCACTGATTCAACATTTCTTTCCTAATGACAAACATAAAATTATAAATCTACATGCCTATATTTCACTATACTTTAAATTTTCTTTTGTTTTTCCAGAGAACTTGAAATTTATCAAACATAATATTTCTCAAACATACCACTTCTTGAACAAGGCTGATCAATTCCATAAGTCTTCTATTTAACTGACCTACTTCTGCTTTTATCTGAGTAACATGTTGTTCATAAACATCTTCTAAAGGTTTGAAAGTGTGACCTGAATGAGTACCACCCCAGAGAGCACATTGATGACAAATACATTTGCGACAAGTCCAGCAATACACAGATAACTTCTCCTGATGTGTTACACATCTGTCACAATAATAAATAAATAATCAAATATCATAAATGGATATTTTATTTGTGTGTGTGTGTGTGTGTTAAAATTATTTTACATTTATCATAACATTTTAATCATAAATGAGCATAAGGAAAGAAGCTTTCATAAGAGTATCAATATAAAATGACAGTATGCTATATAAGCTATATAAGCTATGTTGCATAATAACTAATAGCAACATGGAATATTAAAAATCAGATAAAATTCTAAAAAACATTAAAAAAATCTTTTGTTATTTATAAACAGAACCATACAAAAAAAACACATTTACTAAAATATTGCCAATATATTTAAATTTTATTCTTTGCACTTAAAAAAATTATAATTCTCATAGATTGTTGTAACAACAGGCGAGCATCATAATCGTAAGAATTTAAGTTGATTGAAGTATTATGACAGACTGACAGTTGTTACAACGAAAGTTATGATTATCTTGCCATAGATATTCAATAAATAAAATAGCTTTAAAAAAAAGCATGCATAAATATGCTATCCTTTGAACAATATTTCAAATAAATAATAAAATAAATAATTGTAGTAAACATCATAAATAAATATTTCCCAAATGTAAATATATATATATATATGTTAAATATACACACACGCACACACACATATATATATATATATATATATATATATGTGTGTGTGTGTGTATATTTTAAATATTTAGAATATTATCCAAACCTATCTCTGCCAGAATCATCATGTCGAAAGTTAGATATGCAAACAGCTTGCAATGTATCAAGCTGCTGGGTCACTTCTTCGACCCAACGACAATTTACTAATTCATGTAAATGAAGAGAAGCCCGGCAGTGAGGACATTGAGAACGCTGTTCGGTAAGCCATCTTCTGATGCAAGTATAGCAACATAATTTACTGCAGTGAGGGCAAAGATGCGCATCTCTCAATTTTTCCATACAAATAAAACATCGAAAAACTTCCGCCAACGTCTGCGACAAAAAATAATAATTTAATATTCTATTTTTATATTACAAAATACCATCGTTAATAATTTCGAAAACAATTAAAATATTAATTTAATTAGCAATGTAACATGTGTTCTATAACATATATTTATTCAATAAAATAACAATTAATTTTGATCTTAATTACATAATCTTATCGTCGTTAATCATTAATATTTTAGCAATTAATAATATTTTCATAATATATAATTATAATATACATTAACATCTAAATTATAAATCTACAAAATAAAATGTCAATATTTCATGAAACATTTAAATATAAATAAAAACCTAACTAAACTAACTAAACTAAACTAAAAAAAAAAAAAAAAACTTTACAGCATCTCGCATTTAAAATTCTTATTACAAAAACACTAATCCAAAACTATCAAATAAATTTAAAAAAAATCTAATTCAAGAATATTATTATAGATTCTATAAAAAAAATATAGCATTAGAGAACTGAAGAAACATTTCAGAAGGACATTAGCAGAGTTCCAAGATCATCGTTACATTTTACAAAATAAACGATAGATCTGTTCGTTTTTGTATTTGTACTTTCTCACATTTTCATTCTTTTTTTTTGTGTTTAAAATGAAATGAGAGAGCGCAGTTGCAAAATGAGAACAGATCCTGTTATGATTGACCTCGACGCTAACCTCGACGCTGTGGTCGTCCGCAATCTTGGAGGAAACGGACGGATCTCGGCTGGCCATTTTTTATTTCGGGACACGCTGCACGTGGGAGACGCACGAGGAATATCGATCACTTTACCGAGTCTATCGTCCGTGTGACACATGTCCCAGAACTGGATCACTGTGATATGTTCGGTCCGGCAGCGTCGATTGTTCCAAACATCAGGCTTGATCACGGACCACAGTACGATCTCACAGTGACAGTGTACGAGCCTCTCGATACGCACAAACGGATAGGATGTATGTGGATATATGTACGTGTATTGTTTCGTTAGCGTTTAAAATTTTTTCGCGAAAACCGTTAACCGTTACATTTCCATGTACATTTCATAAACAGTTTGACAGAATGAGTATTATGCACAAGCACGGGAAAATATTTTGAAGAACAGGCACGTTGCTTTCATCACGGCATAATCACAAAGCATGGTCTAAAGAAACAAGGTGTGCTCTTGCGCATGAAAATGAGGACGGACCAATGAGGAACAAGTAGCCGGCCATATTAATTTATATCAGCCAATCAGCGTTTTTCTCGCGATATTCAAAATGTAGTGTAAATAAAAAAAAAAGGACAATTAATAAATTTATTTAATTGAGAAACTACTACTTGTGACTTTTATTATTAATAATTATTAAATTTTTTATTATCAAATCATATGTCACGTAGTGACACAAATTTGTTTATTTTACTATTATTTTCTAATATGGAAGACGACTTGTTTCAACGCCATATGTGAGAAGAATCGAATCGAAATTGAGTCTACCTTGAAAAGTACACCTTGTCTCTTTACATCATGCTTTGACTTATTTTTTTCTAGATGTTGGCTGCCATGTAACTAAATCGAGAAATGTTCCGAATCATCATAACCTGCAAAGATGTCGAGATGTTTCATTTGGGTGAGATCCAATCGGACACATTGCCGATTGATCGATTAAATAAAAAAATTTTTAATAGGTAGCTCACTAAAAAATTTCTAGGCATTGACTAATGTGAGTGATGTGTCCGATTGAAAACGTGCGCATCTGGAAAGCTCCCGTTTCATTTGAAAATTTAAGATCGTAATAATAAAATTATAATTAATTTTATTATATAATTTTTATTATATAATTTTGCAGTAACAAAAGATATTTTCGATTAGCTCATAATAATAAGTATTATAATAATATTATTGTAGTAACAAAATTTTTAGTCATAATTAATATTTTCAGAACTTACACAGAAAAATTTTTCGCTTAAGCAGAAACAGAAATATTTTGAATTACTACAGTCTTGAGTTTCCAAATGAACCATCTTTGACATCTTGCAGATTATGGCTGCGTTCCGATATTCACCGTCAATACAGAAAATATATAGTTTAGATCACGTATATTATAGATTTTCAATACTTGCAGTGAATATTGGGACGCAGCCTTTGACGAGTTCGAAACACTTCTCGGTTAGTTACATGGCAGCCAACATCTAGAAAAAAAAAGCTAAACTATCACCTATCGTTCAGAATATACCCCAAATAATTTTATTTTAAATTGGCCAATCGGCAACGTGGGCAAGCGGGCACTACCCGCATCGTGGACACAATATAAAAGTTGTGAAATAACGTCTCCTCACTTTTGATTGATGCCCGCATTTTTCAGCAAACTAATAAATATAGGCTATGTTCGTAAATTTACTAAAAACATATGATCTATGAACGTATTCTATAGATTTTCAGTACTGACAGTGAATTTACACAGCCATAATATGTGTGTACATACACCAATTAATTTAAAACGGCGTGTACATTAATCGATTAGTTGCTAGAACGTGTCTAAACAGTTAGAAAGGTTGTATTACATAAAAATTTTCATAAAATTTATTAAAATGGGTGGTTGTTCTGCGCCAAACTGCAACAATTCTTCAAAAAAAGGATATACTATGAAAGTTTTCCCCCGTGATCCTGAACGAAGAGCAAAATGGGCAGCAAATGTAGGACGACAATATTGGAAACCAACGAATTTTTCATGTCTTTGCGAGGTTTTTTGTGGAATATTGTATTATTTAATTTTTTAAATAAAATAATACAATCTTTTTATTTATCATTTTATATAGGTTCATTTTGAGCCAACAATGTGGGAAAAAAGAAATGATGGCCTTAAGAAATTAAAATGTAATGCAGTGCCAACAATTTTTGGATTTTATTTAAAAAAACAGAGTAATGAAAAGAATGAAAGGTATAGAAAACAGCTCAATATGATATTTATATATCATATTACAATAATAAATTTATAATTTAATTTAAGTTAATTTCATTTTTTTTTTCAAAGCAACAATAGAAGCAACAATAGAAGCAACTTGAATCAAGAACAATCTAGGACTGATTATATACAAAATAATTTACAAGCTGATTCTGAGGCAATTAAAAAATCAGAAATTAATCCTGGCTGTGATGATATTAATGTAACTGTCATAGAAAGGAATACTGATCAGTTATTTGAGATGCAATCAATTACAGTGAGTGTAATTTTATGGATTTGTTTCTAAAAGTGAAATGTTTTATATGTATCATATGTTTACTTTCACCAGGAAAATACAAGTTATAGCCAGCAAAAATCAACACAAAAGGACAAAATTACAGTATTACAAAAATGTGAAGAATGCAAAAGTTTATTGGACAAACAAGCAGTAGAAATCATGATGTTAAGAAAGAGATTGAAAAAGATGAGAGATGCTTTTAGAAAAGTAAAAAGAGAAAGTGACAAAAATTTATATAAAACTCAATTAAAACGAATCTTTACGGATGATCAAATTCATGCTTTATTAACAAATTCTAAGAGAGTTCGACACTGGTCTAACGATACGATTAGAAAAGCATTACGACTAAAATTTGCTTGTGGTGAACGTGGTTATAAAGAACTAATAAAACAAAATATACCTTTACCAAGTATTCAAATGCTTCAAGTATTCAAATAAAATTACATAAGAATTAGAGTTGTCAAGTGGAATAATTGGACAATATCTGCGAATTTTTTAAGATTAAGGTATCACAGTTTCAAGATGCAAGAGATAAATAATGTTCTCTTATTATGGACGAAATACGGATTATACCAGGAAAAATATTTGACACAACCACACATTCTTATTATTTAAAAAGGGTTACACTGCCTAGTCATACAGGTACTGCAATGCATGATTTAATATTTATACCGGACGATTTAATGTCGAGAATAGAAGCAAATTGTTGATTACAAGTTTACGGGAAATAATTTTGATGGAGCTGTTTTAAAACCAATTATTTTTCAGATTCTGCACAAAGCAAAATCAATTTAAATGTAAATAATATTACATCTGACATGGAGTCGGGTAATATGGCATTGTAGCGGGAAATTGAAATAACAGCAGGACAGCGGTATTCACAAACAGTAAATAAAATTCAACATTTATGTGATCCTGATTGATAATTTGTATCTTTTAGCTGATGCAGCATATTTTCTTGTAAAAATGTAAAGGCATATTAAATAATAAACTTCTTACAATTCTTTTTACATTGCAGGAAAAATATAAGTTGCCTACAAATACAGTACATGCTAATAACTTGAAGAATTACTTAATGAGCAAAAAGATTTATAATTTTTGTTAATGCAAAGATTAAGTAAATCTATAGACTCTCAAAAATCAGTATCTAAAAATGGGTAAATATAGTTTGTTTTAAGTACAAACGTTAGTAGTGCCTTGGAATTTTTAGCAGATGAGAATAATGCTTCTCATTACTTGACAACAACATGATTTATAAATACAATAAGTATAGTTTAAATTAATGATTTCGAGATATATCTCTGTAGCTCTAAGGAAATTACACATAGAAAAATTTAATGAAATTTCTTTCTTATATGATTTTACTGATTTTCAAAAATTTAAAGATTGATAATAAAGGACACTTTAAACCTGTTCAAAAGGGAATAATGTTTACTACCACATCCATTATAGAACTTGCTAATTATTTATTAGAAAAGAAAAAAATTTGAATTTGTTTTTACTGATCATATGACTCAAGATTGTATGAAAAATCTCTTTTCTATAATCAGATCCAAGAATCCAGTTCCTAACGCGTTACAGTTGAAAAATAACTTAAAACTTATATTTATTTCTTTATGTACAAGGCATGTATACATCACTAAGCAACTATGAAAAAAATGACAGAGATGATGGGCTTCTTAGATGTTCTTATCTTGAAAAAGAAAACAAAAATGCCAGAACTACTAATATAAATATTGATGCTATAAAAATAAATTAAAAAAAATTCTTATCTTTAACAATGTTTGAAGTATTAGGTCTGTTCTTTTCGACCCAACTGGCTGCACTAGTTCAGTTTATCTTTCTTTTTTACACTGGAAGAAGAAAGATAAGCTCTGAATTAGTGCAGCCAATTCAGCTAAAAAGAACAGACATTGTATCACATCGCTGGTTATATAATTCAGTTTGCAAAAAAGGTTATATAATTCACAGTTTGCAAAGAGAAGTTTCTCCATATTACATTCGCGTGACCACGTGCCATGTGTTAATCGCGTGACATCATTTGTCCCCCTTATCACCTTATGTAATACGTTTTAATAAGTTTTAGGATCAACTTTCAGGCTCAATAAATAGAGGAGTTAGCGGTCTAGTGTATAATATAAATGTCTATGATTAATGCTATCGGCCGATTAAAACCTGTTCTACAATGCATCGTGTGTCGCAAGCCACAAGAATTGATCAGTCACAGTTGAATGTGGGGAGAATATTTGATTGTGATTGACCCATTCTTACAGTCCACGACCCACGACCCATGACACACGACGCATTGTAGAACAGAGCCTTAAGCCTAGTCTACAACGACACAATATAAGGCTATAAGGCTGTAAGGCGTGGTTGTAAGAACCTATTTAAATGAATTATTTTCATTTCTTATGCTTAACAACCTTACGTCACAGTATACAGCACAGTTATAGTTGGTTTATGGAAATCGTAATCTGTTAACTTATGTAACCATAAAAAGTTGACCAATCACAATCGAATTATAGAAGAATACTCGACTATGATTCGTCATTTTTTTACGGTTACGACATAAGTTAACAGACCTCCATAAACCAACCCTAATTTGGTGAGCAGAATTGCCAATAGTAAAAAATCCAAAATCGATCTTGGTCTCGTAATATATTCATTCAAAGAGAAAATATGTAGAATGTGGATTAAAGTACAATAAAGTAAGGTAAATGTTAAGTTTAGGGGCCTGTTGTCCGATTTCGATAAAATTAGGTTCATTCGACGCGTTTTTGCACGAAACAAAAGAACCTGCTGTTTAACTTAAGAGTTGGTGAGCCGACCCTGAATCTGTTCGAATTATCGTGTGATTGGCTGCGTTCAGCAGAGAAAGCAGATCAGTGAGCGCTCAGTGATTTTTCAATATGATTGGTCCTTGCCTTTAGATCTTCGTTGAATGAAGAGTGTAGAAACCAATCATAATAAAGAATCACTGACACTCATTGATCTGCTTTCTCTGCTGCTGAATGTAGTGTGTGAACATTGTGTATATATGGTGTGTACCATGATACGTCGCGGCGATTGATAGTAAAGTACGCATAAAGTGAAATGGCATTATTCCGGGCATTGCCCGCCGGAATCGGCGCAACATCCAAGATCATTTCACGTAGTGTCCCAGCTATATACTATCACGCAAATGTAATTGCCATTGTCAATTATATATATATACTTATTTTTATCATTCTTAACCTCTAATCGCGTCCTCTAATTGCACCTGTGATTTTGATTATTTGGTTTACACTTAATAGTCTTATCTGACGTATTCGTTATTAAACATGCGATATAAGCATTATCTTCGATATGTTCTTATTCCTAATATTTAATATTGCTTAATATCTATATCGCGTTTTTACGCAATTTAACGTTTCAAGATATTTATTTTGCATCGAGCGTGTGGTGTGAATCACCATAGGTTTTAGAGTTTTATTTATACGCAAAAAGTGGCTGTATGCCACTTGTCTTAGAAAGTGATCTTCTAATTTAATTAAAATATTCTTTAATTGTCATATCGTACAATATAAATTCATCACTTCAGTGGCATAATATGGCGTAACATCATATATGCCTATATATAGATTTCATTTGCGTCGCTTTCATATTTAGACATTTTTATCCCGTTACGATATTCGTAAATTATATGCGTCATATTCGATTGTTTTTATTTCTGTTAAAAAAAATTAATACATAATTTTATAAAATTAATAAAAAGAGAAATATCAATTTACTTTAAATATTTATATAAATATATTACATTATTATTTTAACAATTATCTATTACGATATTATTCTGTTACAGAATTATTTATAATTTATCATGTAAATAATATATTGGTTAACTAATTTATATAATATGAAAAATATGTACTAATTGTTATTAATAAATTGTTGCTTCTTAGAATAATATAAGTTTATATGATAGATAATTAGATAAAGTTTACATGATAGATTATTATTTTGTATGTATCATAATGTTTATATACAAATTGAAAAACAAGTGATTTTATGATAAAACAGGTACTTGATCATTATGAGAATCCTAGAAACGTTGGTTCTTTGGACAAGAATGACGAGCAAGTTGGTACAGGTCTCGTAGGAGCACCTGCCTGTGGAGATGTGATGAAACTTCAAATTAAAGTTGATGAAAATGGTAAAATAATTGATGCAAAATTTAAAACTTTTGGTTGTGGTTCCGCTATCGCCTCCAGTTCTTTAGCAACAGAATGGGTTAAAGGAAAAACGGTAAGCTTTTTTAATCTATCATAATGCTTAACTTTATAAAGAATGCATAAGATATAGAACAGATCATTTTATATTATTTTTTTCAACATTTTTAATTAATCTTTTTTAAGTTTTTCCTTTTATTTTATGTTTAGTCAACATAATTATGTAATATAAAACATGAATTAAAGTGCATTAATTTTTTATTAAAATGATTGATTTTAGGTGGACGAAGCATTGGCACTAAAAAATACTGACATTGCACAAGAACTTCGCCTTCCGCCTGTCAAGCTGCACTGTTCGAGTGAGTAAATGTATTAAGGATTAAAATTTTTGATTTATTAGTTTTGAATCATAACAATATTGTATTTTTGGAATAAGACAAACATTATAATCTATATTATGATATTATATAATCTATATCATGTTAGAAAACCTAAAGAAAATTAAATATCAATTCAATATCAATTAAATATCAAGATTTTGTAATTTTAATATTATTATTTTTATTTTTTTGCAAATGTAGTGCTTGCCGAGGATGCAATTAAGGCTGCTCTGTCAGATTATCGCATCAAACAACAATCAAAGACCAAAATGAAGGATGAAGAAGTCAGTAGCATGAATTAAGATCGATCTTGTAACTATGTGATACCAGTAAAAATAAATTTAGCTTTGCAAATATTCTAAGGAAATTATTGTATTGTAATCATAATTACTTAGATCGAGCGATGGGAATTATACATTTTTTAAGTTATATATTAGGCAATACATTTTTTTCTTTTAAAATATGAATAAAGGGATGTAAATCGTACCTGTATACCAGATAAAATAAATTTATTTTAAGAAGCAAATGCGTTAATCAACATCTTAAATCATATGTTTCGAGATAGAGAAAAATATTTACGATTAATATAACTATCATTTTCGCTTATTTATTCACTTTGTTATTCGTCATATGACGAAGAAGATTGAGAGACGGTCAGATTAAATATCAACAGGCGGCGACTGACGCAATGAATAACGCGCATTGACGTTGGCCGTTATCAATGGAGAACACTCCACGGTCATGTGACGACCTGAGTAACTTATAAAACGCGTGTAAAACTTTATAGATACATGTACTTTTCTATGACCTTTCTCAAACAATAGTATGTTTTTTTTTTTTTTGTAGAAAATGCCTTTCTGCATGTTTGCGTCAAACAAAAAGATCGTCACTAATTTCGAGCCGAATTTTTATTTCAAGATTATCATTCGAGCATAATTCTCTTTGAAAGTTTCCATGAACAATTAAAAGCGATAATTGAAAATTTATGTATCTATTCTTATCATTCAATTTCTTCTTATCATTCATTCCGCTTGTTTCCTTGAAATTTTTCATTACATGAATGTACTGAAAAATTGTTCGATATTTTTGCAGTTTTCAACGTACATTTTATTTAAACTATAAATGCATATTTTGGAATTTGAAAAATAAACTTGAAAATTAATTTTCCTATTTATTTTAATGATGCATTAACGGTAAAAAAAAAGATCAATTCCGTAATTCTAAAGAATAAAAATTAATTAATATCCAAGAAATTAATTAATATCCAATTAAAAAATATCCAATTTATTTTTCACATGATGTATCTGTGCATTGGATTTATGTCAACAAAACGCGCTCATTTCCTTTTTCGAATCGACTTATTTTGAATTAATTGAGATCGCTCGACAAATTATGTTGATAACCCGAAAGTAAAACATCGCAGATTAATCGAATCGGCGCGACATCGCCGTCAATCTAATCACTTTAATAATGTACTTAATGATTCCTTAAGGCGATACAATAAATCGATTTCGCAATAGATAATCTGTTTTGATAACGGTCCACTCGATGCAGAAAAACTCATTGCAGATTATTTCTGAGAACCACGATAATTAGAGTGAATGTTAGAAAAATGTTCGCAAAGGAGCAGCTTATTCTCGCGAGGAATTTCATGGACAATCCTGCTTAATTAATTCTGGCTCGCAATCCTTCGTAATCCTTTCCTAGTCCATAATATTAATTGCAATTACACAGGATATCGCAAGAAACGATCGTGTACTTTTCCTAGATCTAGTAGAAATTGTACGTATCCGGATTAAAAGATAATAGAATCTTATCTAATTGAGAAATAGATATTATTTCTTTGATTTATTTCTTCTCGAAAATTTACATCCTTTCAAAATATAGTAATTATTACATGTAAAATTTATTTTTCGCGTAAATCACAACGTAATATTTATTCTCTTCGATTCTTCGATTCAATTTAATTTGCAATAAAGCCAACTTAATCATTTATTTTCTGCTTTTAGTCTTATACTTTTATCTTTACATTTAATTTGGAAAAGAGAAAAGACAGCAGGAAAAAATTGAGGAAAAAAAGAGTTTCAAATAGAAAAACGGAAAACTAAAAATACAATACTGTTATATACGTACGTACATGCTTCCAAATTGTTTTAAATTAAATTTGTTCTATGGAATATTAAATGTATTTGAACGTATTTAATTAGATAATTATGTCTCAAATTTGTGAAGAGAAATTCTCAAAATTTCAATTCACATGTCTCAAAATTCAAAAAAGTCGATATATATATGTTTGTATGTATCGTTGCGAACACACAAGGGGCACACGATGATTATCCACGTTCTTTGTCTCGTAATTGTCATCACAACACCAATTGATGCTTAATAAGAATGAATTTGTACTGCAATACCATACGTTGCCTCTGATGATTGTACACTTAGAGTTTACGGCTAATTAATTAAGTCGAAGTCGCAGTCACGACACTACTTTACTTCGCTCGGCGCGATCTTAACATGCGATGTTGTAACCACCATTGCTATTTATCGGGCTTACGCTTATCGCAAATAAAACTTTATGACAAACGGCAGAAACGTTTGAGCAAAATTTATATCGCGCAATCGCGTTTATATCGCGGGGATTTCGCGGTAAATTCCTGGACAAAATGCGAGGTATCTCCACGTGTAAAAACGCTCACGGTCACACTATACGTTGCATTCATTATCTTGCTTATTTAATTATTTGCAGATAAAACAATTGCACATATGGCTCTCAAATTACTTAATTAATTTTCCTCTTAATCTTGTATTATATAATATGTTAATCTGTTTTTAATATCAATATATATATATATATATATATATATATATGAGCCTCTTGTACACTTAATTATATAATATTGTTATACAATCAACG